TTTTTTGCTATCTACTTAAGTCTGTTTTTTCAGCATTGTGACCAAAAAAACCTGATGAGAACAATTAGGAAAGTTTACTTAGGGCTCATGATTTCAGAGGTTTTAGTCCATAGACGGAACTCCATTGCTCTGGGTCTGAGGTGAAGCAGAATATCATGGTGGAAGAGTGTGGTGGAGGAAAGCAGCTCAGGTACCAGGAAGCCAAGAGCTGTGCTCATCAAGAACAGTACACCCCAACACACGCCCCAGTGACCCACATCCTCTAGCCACACCCTATATGCCTGCAGACACTACTCAGTGAATCCCTGTTGGGGGATCAATGTACTGACTAGGTTAAAGATCTCATAATCCAGTCGTTTCAAAACAACTAAACTTTATGGCATTGTCCTCAGATGTCTCATGCTGGTCCTGGTCTACTTAGTGTATATGTGCAAGACCCTTGGTTTGTTTGGTTTCACCAGAGCTCCCACTGCTCCCTGTGGGCCCTGTTTGAGGAGGCAGAAAGCTTTTTGCAGGCTGTAATGCCAGGTATCTCTCAGCATGGGGTCGGGGAGTCTCAGCCCATGGGGATGAAGAGGTTTCTCAGACTAGATCTCTTGCTATGGAAGAGTTCCTTTTGCTGCTGCTATCCAACTTTCCTAGTATTTTTCAGTAGGATAGGAGAGTCTCTGGCCTACTAGGAAAGGGAAGCTTCTCACACTGGTGCTTGTGGTAGTGGTGGTGTCTTTTTGTTGTTGCTGACCATCTGCCCTGCTGTCTCTGGGTGGAGATCTCAGGCCATGGAGGAGAAATAGTCTTCCAAGGTGGGGCCGATTATGATGGCAGAGTCCCTCTTTCTAGTGCAACCCAGCTGTCCTTGTAACTTTGGCTTTATTATTAGCAGAGAATCAATATTTGCTAGTGGTGTTGGCTCATCTGGTGTTAGTCATTCTATTCAGTCTGCGACAGGAGTAAGCCCAGCTGTGCTGCCTTTTCTTACCAAGTTGGGAATGGGAAGTGCCGGAACTGGGTTACCTTCTTCTGTGTGAGAGGGATCTAGGACTCCCTGCCATTGTATTGTTCCTCTAGTCCTGGGTTCCCAAACCAGTTTGCCCTCTTACTACCGGTCAGAATTGTTCTTTCATTACTGTCCCAGGTTTTATAGCCCTACAGTTAATCTCTGTGCCATCTTGTCTGCATTACAGATAGCTGTGTATTTTGGTACAATGAAAACAAAATATACCTTAAGTAAAATACTTCTTAGGGTTGAATTATTATATAATTCTATTATGTGATTATTAAGTTTAAAACAACTCCCATGGTCTTGCACTTCTGCCACAAACAATAAGAAATCTATTATATGGAACAATTCTAGAACTAGTTGGCTTTGTGTGAAGGTAAAGATCCATTCCATAAGGAAAGGAACACATTGGCAGGGAGAACCAATTACTGGGAAGCTCTAAGATGAATAGTCCTGTGATT